ATGTTTGCTGATATCATTGTAATAACTTTAACGCGTTGCTGGTCCCTTGGAATTGGGTGCTTTGTTGTTTCTTGTTGACTCAGAACTGTATAGTTAAAATAGCGTCGAATCTCTACCGAGGACCCGGCGCCTGAATGTGCTTTGACTATAGAAGTCTCTCCGGTACTTCACAGCCCGTTCCGAGGAGTAAGTAATTCTGTTCATAATCTGAGCGCTCTGTTACCATATTTCAGCAATGTAAGTTTCGGATAGTCTGTTCGTTTCTCGGCTGTTTTAGCATTTGATGATGTTCTTTAACGTTGCAAATAATAAACTGTCAAATGATTTTTGTGTAATGGTTTTGTGCTGACAGTTATCGTCTGTGCCGATTGATTGAACATGCCTAAAGGCTGGCGGGTTGTTTGCCGCCGGCATGTAGGTCTTTGTTTCCGCCGCCTCTGAGGTTCGAGTTTTCACCTCTTTCACTTAATGACTGTTTGATTGCCGCTTGCAGTTGTATTTCTCACTTGCAACAAACTTTCTTTAGTTTGCGAACAGACTCGAAAAACCAACGGCGTTAGCAACGGAAGCAACAGTAATAAAATCATGTCAGGAACTCGGATTGATTCTCTGCTCTGTTTTCCCAAACATAACGATTGGATGTTTAGAAGCGCAGTTTAAGGGTCATTGTGCCGTTGTTCCTGCTGTCTTGCTTGCCTCCTATAGTTCAGGGGATGCTCGATTTTGCATCTAAATACTCCAGAGACTTTTTGGGTCGCCTTTAGGGCTAATGCAAAAAATCATTTTCCGCTGTTTAAATGTTTAAAATGACCTTCTTAGTTTCTTTTCGAAGATTTATGTCAGCAGGGGTCAATGGTTGATGATGCTACTGATTTGACACTTGTCTTCGAAGAAACAATGAATCGTTTCTTACTGATAACATCGTAACAGAGATTTTAGCGCTGTGCCATATGCTCCGTGCTATAAGGATGCTAATGAGAAGTCTATCGAGAAAGTCTACAGTTGATCAACTGGCCAGTGGTTGCAAACTGCCCTTTTAAGATGATCCAAATTGTCCTTTAAGACGGCAAATGACATGATGAAAATATTTCATTTGCTTTTTATCCAGAATTAAACAGGCGGTTTTGCTTATTTTTTTCATTTAACAATAATTGAGCTAAAGTGGTGATATCTGTCTGATAGTGATATCTTTTTACTTCAAGCACTGCTTGTTGGTTGTGGTCACACTCCTAGTTGCGGTAGATCTGATCTTCTGAACTAGATGTTTCAATATTTGTATATTTTGTCTGATTTCAAGTTTAAAATCCGCCGGAGTTGGTTTGCATTAATACTTCTATAGAGGATATTTAACTGAAGCAAGTTACTGCACCGGACATATGGCATGAGTTGCTTTCTACCTCAGTGTTTCTTGAGGCCCAGGAGACCACTTCTCTATACTATTTCAAGAGTTGCGGTAGTCTAAACTATGTAAGCTCTTAATCGTACGACCCTGTTCTCGATACCAACGGATATTTGTTGTTTGAGCAGAGTACATGTTCACTGCTCCATCGAAAAGTTTTTCATCCCGGAAACATAGGAACATTAGGACTTTAGGTTAAAATTCATTACTTTTAGGTTTACTACTGTATTTTTTAATATTATGCACATTTTTCAATACTCTACATTGACCTCTAACAGTCATAATGACAATTTTACTCTTCATACTTTGCATTAGATGACGATGAAAGCAGTCTTCATAGGGATGTGGCATTTTCCTTCCTACATAATTGATTTTTCTTCTCCAGAAAATATAGTAAATTCGAGTATCATACTTCCACCATGGCACAACAATAATGTTCTAGGTGCCTCAAGAAATTTTGACGCACTTCGACAAAATTCATTTTGTTTATGACCGGGGTTGCCCAGCCGGTAGAGCGTCGGACTGAGATCCGAGATATCGCGGGTTCGAGTCTCAGTCAGGGTCACTAGCTTATCTTTTTTTGAGGTAGATAAATGAATACCACTCTATTCGGAGGAAACAGGAGAGTGCACACTATGCTTGCTTCAGTTGTTGTCTACTGTGCCTTTGAAAAATAAGGCGCTTCTGGGTAATGGTATGGAAATGGAGATCAGCATCCCCATTATTAACTTCATTAAGTGAAGGGCGTCCGAAATGGCTGTCATGAAAGGGAATCGACCTTCCAACGATTAAAAATTTCGATTTCTTTCTACATGCTTACGGATACAAGGCACTTTGACGTGCTAATTTTATTCCGATAATTTTTTTGTTGTGTAATTTTTCTAATTTGCTTTTTACCAGGTTTACTGCTGAAGAAAGCGTCGTTTCGTTTCGACGAAGGATTCGGCCAACATAAAATATCCGAGGCATGGTCTGTGGCTTTCGCTCCTGACGACTCGTTCGTTGCTTGGAGCTGTGGTAGCCGCTACATCGCCGTGGTTCCATGGAGAAGAGCCGAGAAGGAATGGGTTTTCAGTCGTAAAGTGCCTTCATTTTTGACCGGTCAGAAGTTAATCGATGTCGGCTATGCCACGTGGTCAGTGGCCATCGGGTACGCAGCCTCCGCTGAAGGACTGTTGCCCATCGGCATACGTCGACGACGAAGGGACCGCTGCCAAAGCGGTAATATGATTTTGGCAGCTGGCCTGGAAAACGGCAACATTCGAATCTACAACGTTTCTTCGGGTACGTGATTATGAATGAATGAACTTTTGCGTAAGTTACTTTAATTATCGTGCCTTTAGGGGAGCTGCTCATAGAGTTGCTCGACCACAGCGATTCGATTAGAGGACTGAGCTTTTCACCTGGTAACTGCTCGATCTTGTTATCGTGCTCTCGAGACTCGACGCTGAAACTCTGGGACATGGCCGACCAGGGAAATATGTTTCAAACATTAAAAGTTAGTTATAGGACAGACTTTTAAATATAATTTTGGCGATGAATATGTCGAATCAGTCATTGTCGTGTATGTAATCGAACGGTTATTTTTGCGCCGACTGTCCTCATGCAGTGTCGTGGGCGAAGACTTCAGGTATGGCCATAGATGTCGCCCTTGACTGACCTGACTGCCGAAAATGCATTTAATGCAGACGTGTTTTTCTTTGAAATCATCACCAATGATGTGCCTGCGCAGAAACTAAACGTTGTTTATCACTTCCTTTATTATTCACTTTCGTTATCATATCAGCAATTTGTGTATTTTTAGGGTCACGTGCAACACACGGAGGTGTTATGTTGTGCATGGTCGCATAGCGGCAAGTACATTGCCAGCGGAGGCACCGACAAGCAGGTAAACAAAGAGACCTTGATTTAACTGTATCAGTTTTTCAGGTTAGTATTTCTTGATACTATACGCCGGATCACTCATATAGATTTGGCATTCAGTCGACGATTTTACTTTTAGAATAGTCGACGACTGGCCATTTATGAAATTAGCAAGAAAGCATGCATGGCATGAAGGGAATGAATAATAATACATGCTATGAATATAAATATGCATGAACATGTATACATTGACAAACTCAATTCTTTTATTTTTTGAATGCAGTAAATTTTCTGATAGATTAACTCAGGAGTGATTTTACACCCGTAATACGCTGGTCAAGTGTTACAGCTGCGTGAGTATAAATGCATATTCTGGAATTTTGAAATTCGTCTTGAAGTGCGTTGGTAATCAGTGTCCGGGCCTGCATTTTTTATCACTCCTCTCATTCTCCTGTTGTGCTTTACAGTTAGGTATGGTAGGCTTTTTTTCACGACGGCTTTTATTGCTCTCTAAGGGTCGTCCTGTCTCTAAAATTGCAGTGTGATGGTGATGATCGATATGTTTTTCCGTAATTAACATTAGTTACATTTCGAATTCACTTGAATTGCGAATTGTGTGTGCATTAAGAAGTTTAGCTGATCATCTGGACAGACGAAAACTGGACATCAACAACTCGTCTTAATGGACACCAGCACTGGGTGACCGGCTGCGAGTTTTCTGCCGACGATGGTTTTTTGGCTTCCTGTTCATATGATACGTCACTTGTGCTGTGGGATTACGTTTCAGGCGAGCAGCTAGTCGTGTTTTGGTGAGCATTTTCTGGTATCTGTAGCGAATTTCCTTCAGTTATAAATTGTTTCAGGCACGAGGTGCCGAGGCCAAGAACCATATTTGGCTATAGTGTAAATGATCATTACGTAAAACAGTGTTCGACTTCACCGGATTGTGAACATGTCGCGACCGTTTGTGATGACAGGTATTCTCACAGTGAATGAATCGTTGTTTAAATAGAATTTACAGTAAACTTTTCTAAGCATAAACGCACATTACAAATGACTGGCAATAAAGTGTATAAAAATAATAAACACAGCACACAACGCTGCCCCACGCTGTACGTATTAATGATGATTCACTGTTACTTGAAAATGCGTACGGGTCAAAAATCCCTGGCGTTTAACAATAACTTGCTGAAATCAGTCCTACCTTCTGTATGGCGAATGAACGTTGAATCTCTCAGCACCAGGTTTGAAGGCTTTTGTTAAGGCAGCTGCTGAAAAAAGGAGATCTCTTTAAATTGACGCTCTACTAAATAAATAATAAAACCAAAATTTACGTTAATTTTTTATAATGACGAAATCACGCCCCATAGTCTAAATTACTACAACAAGTGAGAACGTTTTGCTCTGTAGGACAAATACGTGAGCTTTTCAGCCTTTTGCTGTTTCTGCTTTTCTCTTCGACATTGACTTCGTTTAATTTATTTTTTTTACTTCATTTGTTTGATTTTCAGGTTGCTCAGAGTTTGGAATACTTACTGCCCTGAAGAACCGGTCATTTCCTTGGAGGTGGAAAACGCGGTTAGCGTTTCCTTTTCCAACGATGGTTTGTTTTTAGCCGTTTGGTAAGCGTTTTGGCTATTTTTTCATTGCTGACAGATTTTCATGTTCTTGCTGCTGTTTAGTACTGCTGAAGGTCGATTGCACGCCGTTCTGTCATTGGTGCCATTGCAGTCACTGGCAGTTCTCTGCCGTCGTACTGTTAGGTGTATTGTCCAGGCAGAGGACGTTGCATATTTGCCTATTCCGCAGAGCTTAAAATCATTTTTATGCTACAAGGACATTCGAACAGAAGTTTCCTGACAATCACCTGCCGTTTCCTTCCTTCTTTGGTCGAAAAATATTTGCATTTTTTGTGCATAATTTTTCTGTTGTTTTATGAAATTTGTTTCCTGGACTTGTATCTCAGTTTTACTCAATTTCATTCCTTGTTTTAAAGTAAACTGTTTCGCCAGAGAACGGATTCCTCTACTTACATTTGATACGGCCGGACAAAGGTCTTTTATGATCATCATCGCGCGGTATTGATTTGTTCTGTTTTGTCAAATCTAAAACTAGTCAAACTAGAAAACGTCGTGTCCTCATGGGAGATAAAGCGATCATTAGCGAAATTCTTGAAGTAACTCATCTTAGCGATAGTTACGGCAAGTTTCTGCACGAGAAACATGATGACGAGTAAGTATGGAATGCGACTGGTTAGGTACGTTAAAGTGGGTGCTTTTTTGCATCTTTATAGATATTCACGATTGAGAAGCACAGTTGGACACCCGATTAGGTATCGTTCATTAGACGAGGGCGAAGAAGATAAAACGGTCAAAGATGACGAAGAGGAGAAAAGATGTAAATAAACAAAATATTGAT